AGTTTGTATATATGGATACGCAGGATAGTTAACACAGGTGTTCTACTGTCCTGTATTTCCTTGCTGAAAGAAACTATCAGTGAGGCATTGGTTGATTAGCTTTGTATGTCTATATGTGTTTTCATGAGAAACTACATTGAAGATATCAATATGTAATACAATAAGCATTGTTAATTCCCTACCACTCTGTTTGTAACTCTGTAATGTCTGTACTGATCCTTTGCTATTTTGTAAAATGTTGTCGGTCTGTCAGTATTTTCCTCCTTTTATTTCTAAAATAAAAAAAAAAAAGAAAATGTAGTAACTTACTGAAGTTCATAAACTGGCAGTCAGCAGAGCTAGACCTTGTCACGTGATGAGCAATCTGATGCAAGACCTCGTGTTCTAACTACTGTAATCTAGTCCCCTCCTTACAACTACCTCATAGCAAAGATTTTAGCCGAGGAAAATAGTTCATACTATGGAAAACTGTCAACATATTCTAAATTTATACCAATAGTTTTGCATTCACTGACTGCTGCTTTTAAAAATCAAATTCTAAAGTGTGAAAAATCATCATTCATACCTAAGTGCTCAGGTCCCATCAGTATCAGTATTATATTCCTAAGGTTGCTCATATGAACAGTCTTACTACTAAATGTGTTGATATTTATCAAGTTTACATCTCCTAAAAAGGTTTCTCCATACGCCATCATCCTTCTAATTAACCCCATAACAAACTCATGTCCTGTCAATTTGTATTACTAAAAATCAAACGCAAGCAATCACCACAGTAGCTTTGATTGCCTTACCCAGAAGTGACACTTTTAGTCTACTTTCCGTGCTATGAGAAGACATATCCTTTTTCAAAACTCAGATCTAATCATGAGGCCCACCTTCTAAACACTTTCCAGTACTTTACAGTCTCTGCAAGTCCTTCATATACTTATCACCATGTAATTCTTCAACTTCAGATTTTCTATTTTACCCATGCTCACTGTTCACACTACATTTTTATTTCCTCTAATAATCCGTATTTCCCACCCTTCGAATTGGAACATGCTGATGAATTAGAATGACAGAAATTAACAAAAAGTATATTAAAAATAGGTAAAATAAAAATATATCTTAGTGTTTTAAATTTATTTTTATTCTAACTTGAAAAAGTGAAGAAGGTGAATAAAAAGAGAATTTGATGGTGAGATGTTTCTTCAAGAAAGAGCTAAAGGGTTATTGCTCCACCTACTATTGAAGAGTCCAAAACACAAAGGTTCTCCAAGGGTTTGCAGCAGGTGAATGAAGATTGGAATAAATGTACATGGTGCCCCCTTGCCTGGCATGGTGCAGCTCAGTTACATAAAAATATAACACAAGATAAAGGCCATCAGCTCATAGCTCTTGGACTGATGTTCTGAAGTAATTTTACAAATGACAAGATAGTACTACTAAGTTAAGAACAACAAACCCATGATATATTAAGGGAGGAATGTTTCAGATGGCTTAGAATACCTGCTCAGAAGAGGGCTCACCCACCTGTCCCGTAGCACCTTTTGCTACTTTGTCAGTGTCTTTTCCATTCTAGGGAGGAGATTCTGCGTGTTCCTCCATAGTCATCCTTTCTACTCTTTTATCTTTGGCTCAGTTTGTCTCTAAGCTTTTTCATTCTTCTTTATATATAGTATATTCATCTTTCACTTCTCAGGTTAAATACTCCTTTTTCTAAAAAAGACACTCCCCCACACTTGAGTAGGAACACGTTTTCAGTGTTCTGTACTTGAGATTGCTTGATGCTATTTTAGAAAATGGAAAGAATTTAAATAACATAAATACATTTTAAACTACATTAAGCCACACATAGTGGTGCACACGTGTAGCACCAAGTATTGGGGATGCTGAGGTGGAAAGTTTGTCTGAGCTCAGGAACTTAAGATCACTCTAAGTGATACTGTGATACACTGGAATAAAATTAAAAAAAATATATTGTTCATATGGTATAATGTAGATTGCTGCCTGGAGTGTGTAATTTTTATAACTACAAAATTTCTACATCTATCATATTATCAGGAAGTTGATACAGTATTGGCATGATTGTATCAAATTTGACTGAGACTATTTCAGTCCTTTGAAACATTGTGCTTAATCACTATATAAAAACATTATTTTGTTTTAATTTCTGATCAGGAGTCTACATATCTACTCTCCATTACATAGTTTATATACTATCAATTCACAAGGTAGTGTATCTTTTCCTTATTGTGTAAATCAGTGAGAGATCAAACTGTGTTTTGTTATGAAGATTTTGAAGGACTAGCAATTACATATCTGATAATGTTGATGATAAAAAATTAAAAGGCAGAAGTATGCAAATAGGAAGTTAAAGGCCTATTAATCTATGGTCTTATATCTCAGGAAAAAGACTATTATTTTGCTTTTACATATTAGCCATAGATTGTGTGTGTATGTGTGTTTGTGGATTTGCATTTATATGATACATCTAGTAGGAGATAATATTTTAAAACCATTTAAATTTTTTATCACTATAATTTAAACATTTCTTTTTGCACAGTGTTGTGTGTACTTCTAAAATAGACATACAGATGGCTGCATATTGTATTGTATAGACAAGTTATACAGTCATTCCACTTGCAATGATTTGCCACTTTCTAGTTTTTTGTTGAATATTTTGGAATAAAATTTTGTGTTTCTCTTATTCAGTTTTCAGGATAAATTCTTAGTAATGAAATACCTGAACATAATATTATGGCTTTATTTTTAAGGTAGTAATTGCTTCATAAATGAATTGCATCTTTCCTCAATAATTGCCAAGTTACTATACATTAAATTTAGCCATTCTAAAAGAATTTTCAACACATAGAGCTATATAATTCTCCACAAAATTCAAGTTTGTATTCTTATGAATGTATAAAAGGATATTAAGCATTACCACATTATTTTAATTACAGACAAAATATTGCTTAAAATTTTAATATGTTGCCTGAAAGAGATATAATCCTTGTGGGGAAAACTGCAGTAGCATACATAAGGATGTGATATTTAACATTTCTTCAGTAAGATATCTTGATTATCACTGCTGTCTACAAAGTGTAATTACAAGTATGATATATGACGGCAATGTTCCAGTGAGTTTTAAAATGTTTCCTATATTGCTCCAAAGTTGTAGAATGTACATTTAAAATGAATGTTTTCTAAATGGGTATGCATGAGGCATGCAAACATATGAATTTTGAAAGGAAGAAAATTATCTCTTTTTCAATCTTAAAATATATTCGTTGGTTTTTGCTCTAGCAATTGCAAAGTCAGGCATCTGTTACTGTTTGGTGTGGTGTTAAATTTCATGGTTTGTTAATTTTGCAGTTCTGTCTAAAAAACTAATACAAGGAAAATGGACTAAGCTTTTATATTGCAAAATTCAGAACATCCCTTGGGTAATTTTTTTTTTCTTCATGGAATTCATTTCACATTTCTCTCTTAAGTGAATAAGTTTCTTGCTTTTTTAAGTTATCAGAAACTATTCTGGATTACTGAATTTTAGACCCATTAAAATAATAAAACCAAGGCTATGCATCATTAATTCTCAAATACTAATTTTTGAGATTCTTTCACTATATACAGAAGAAGATAATATAAAATTTTGTGTTAAAAATCTATGTTTTCCCTTTGTCCACAATTACAGTAAATTAAATTTTATTATTTTCAAACTATATTAATCATTATAGTTGATCTTTGACTGAAAATATGTTCACTTGACAATATCAAAATTTCACTACTTGGGGCTGGGGATTTAGCTCAGCGGCAAAAGCGCCTGCCTGGCAAGCGCAAGGTCATGAGTTCGGTTCCCGGTACTGGAGAAAAAGCCAAAAAAAGAAAAAAAAAAAAAAAAAATTTCACTACTCACTTAATAAACTCGGCACATATATGGCTGCAGGGGCAGGCCTGTTAGGGAACGTTGATTCAGAGATAAAGATCTCTGTAGTTTGAAACTGTGAGCCTTCCCTTCCTAGAGGTGTGCTTTCCAGCTGTGGGACTAAAGGTATTGTCGAGATTTTCCTAGCAAAGTTAATCTCAAGACTATATTCTCCCACATAAGAATTGATAGGTAAATACATTGAACAAGTACATATAAAACAGAGATTGAAAGCAATATTGGTACAAAATAAACTGTGAGCCTAACAGAAAGTCTTCTGTCCAGTTTTCAAAAGACTAGTTAAAACTAGTAGGTGGTTTTATATAACTAAACAGAAGAAAGAGAAAGCACAATAACATTTTAGTACATACGTCTGAAATGGTCTTTATGTGTTCAGATGTTGTCTAAGATTCCATGCTGCTGTAGTCAGGGTTCTAGTAGAAGAAGAAGGGAACCTATATACTCCAAGTATACAAATCAGTATGCAGAGAATCAGAAGCACATTCACCTCTTGTAATGTCAGGTAGAGGAAAGATCAAAGAAGCAAGAAGCCACTGTGGATTCACTCATCCTATCACAACATATCAAGAGGTTTTGCAAGAGGCTTTCCACAGGGGCTGTTCTGAATACTGAGAATCTGCTGGAAACTCCTCCATTCTCACAGGTCTCGGTGATTGTGAGGGAGCCCCTCTCAGCCCTCCCTGTAGCCACAGGACCAAAGCAGGTGCCTGCTATGAGTTATCTTTAGCTCCTCTGAGAATCCCCCTTGTCCTATGACTACCTCTGGAAGAGAATGGTGTCCTTTATTCTTCTAGCTCCCAAGTGTTCTACTACTGTCACTCTTGGCAGATTCTACTCAGGAATACTACCAGAAGATTTGGGAGACTGTCTTTTCTCAAAGCAGAAGTTATCGATACTAAATTGATAACAGATTTACACAGATATTAATGTTCTTGGATGTGTTATTCATTAAGATTATATAAACAATATAATAATTCTAATTACATATTCTTAGCTAAGTAATATTAACAGCTGGGATCTTAATACATGTAAGTTAAATTAATTTAAATGATAGATGAGAATAAATATTTGGAGTGTAAAATATTAATATATTCAAATAAACCAAGTAAAGTAAGGAAAGGTGGTTGATATGATTTCTTTTTTGTTTCTTGAAAACGAAGCACACTTCCTCATGTTCATCTGGAGTCACCAGGTTATGAATGACCCTTCTTACAAATGTAGGATTTGGGGTATTTCCGTTTCTCTGCGTTTCCACCATTCCAGTCCAGACTCCCATCATCTGCTGCGTGGAGGACAGAATTAGCTTCCTCTCTGGTCTTCCTGCAGCTGATTGTTCCCACCACCTCCTTTCAATCTGTTTCCACGTTATAGTTAGAGTGATATTTTCAAATTGAAAAATCTGATGATGTCACAGCTAGATATACCACGACTGTTCTGAGGAGATACCAAACTATTAGTTCACCATTTTCCATAAACCTTGGTATTAAGAGATGCAGTAACTTAGCGAAATCTCGAAACTTCTGACTTTACTACTAAAATAAAATTACTGTTTCAAAAGTAGTAGTAAGAGAATAAGCACTAATACACTGCCTGATATACATTGAATCAATAACTGTTATGTTCTATTTATCTCTTCTTTGTGCTAAAACAACTCTTAAAAAAATTAGTAGTTAACTGATACCTGAACTGAAATAAAATATATAAACTGAACTAAAAATGTGAAATTGCTCTCATTGTGAATATTTTTATAGTTTTATTGAAGTATCATTAGCATACTTCAATACTTCAAATTATAATTTACTGAGGTTAAAGTTATGGTAAGCTTTCACATATCCCCCACGAAACCTTACCAAAATAAAAATATTTATTTTTCTAATTCTGTCACATTTCCAATAATGCAACCATCACTTTCTTCTAGTTATAAGGCAATCATTTCTATGTTTTCTGGTACTATAGGTTAATTTGCAATTTCTGTATTTTTATAAAAGTGAAATTATCAGTATGTTTTTAAAAAATACTTTGTCTATTGTTCCACCTTTGAACTGTTGTTAAAACCAACTGATCATACTGTTGTATGTGTCTCTATTGTGTATGTATTTTTTTGATTAAACTTTGTGTCTATGTTGTCTTAGCATTGCACATAAAAATTGGTAAACATGAGGTGTTCAACTACACTTTACTTTCTCAAAAATGTTTTGAATATGTTCTCATTAAGTCAGCACTTTAAAAAATTACCTAAAGCTTTACCTAAGTTTCTTTTTCTGTTTCATAATTCTATTCAGGCTGCTACATCATATTTAATCATCACCTTCCTTAGCTTCCTTTTGGTGCACATGGTTTCTCAAACTTCTTGTTTTGTATAAACTTGAAAATGTTGTGGAGTACTTGGTCACATATTTTCTAAGGATGTTCCTCAGGAATAAATGGGGTTACAGGCCATTGACAGGAAGGCCAAAGACCACCATTCTCAATGTGCCTAAAAGATAAATGCCGTTTATGTGAGTTTTCATGGTGATGATCATCTTGATGCACTGGTAAAAATAGTAATAGCCACATTTTTCTACTGTGAAAGTATTGTCTCTTATACCTTTCCATATTGTACTTTTAAAAGTCCAGATTTAAGAATTGAAGGTTATGGTCTACCTCCTGGCCTGGAAAGTATCTATGAATGTGAATTAGAGTTGTTCTACTTTGTCCTTTCTCCACTGTTAATATTTTTTATATAATTGTTTTTCTATCTTTCATAATATTATAGTAATCCTAGCTAGTATAAACCCATATGACATTATTTGGATTGGTGCTCATTAGCCATTATAAACTCTTCCATTTGTCCATTTATCTCTTTGGAATTACACCCTTAACTGTGTTGGTGGTTTATTGAGGCAGAAGAGAAGAAAATGGTGAGCACTTTTTTACCACCTGGTGTCATGCAGGATGATTCAGACTTATTTTGTGTATTTTAGTCTTCAACCCTAGAGTTTAGTCTCATTAAAAAAAAATGAATTGGAAAATGACATTAAAAACATCTATGTAGTGGGTGTATTTTTCAATATTAATTAGCATGAATTAATTAATCCATTTGTTTTGCCACTGGGGTTTAAACCCGGGATGCTCCAGTATTGAACTGTATGACCAACACTGTTGTCTTTGTTTTATTGTGATTATTTGTGTGTGTGTGTGTGTGTGTGTGTGAGAGAGAGAGAGAGAGAGAGAGAGAGAGAGAGAGAGAGAGAGAGAAAGAGAGAGAGAAAGAGAGAGAGATAGGGTCTGCTGAATCCTTACACTGCCAAGGCTGGGGTTGAACTTGAAATCCCCTTTCTTCGACATCCTAGAGTTCTGAGATTACAGGCCTGGGCCACTGTTATAGCCAGCTGAGTTAGATAGAAATATTATAGGCAGTCAGACAGGGCCAGGCCCTCCAAGGAGCCAATATAGCAGACAAGATACCTTACAAATGGAGAGGTGGTACTTTCTTAGGGCCAGATCTCAAGACCAAAGACTAAACAAACACACCCACTTACTTCCCAAGGGATGGACATCAGGGATTGATATTCTAAATAGGTAGCGATCACCTTGAAGAGTCCTTGTCCCAGCCCCTTACAGGAAAAGCCCCTGTTCTGTATTCATGCCCACTTGCTATGTGATTCACTTCCCCATTTGATCCCAATTTATTCAATTTTACTTGAACAATTCTTATTGGCTGATCATAGTTTTGTCCATTTTCCCCTTACCTTGGACCTGCCTCACCTCATGGTTTTGCTCTATAAAAGTCCCTAGAAAAGACAGAGTCTGGGGTAACCCACTCGGGCCCCCCTTCTGTCCCTCTCTTGGACAGAAGCTTTCTTTCCCTCAATAAATATATTCTGCTCTTTACCTTTGTTGTTCCTAAAATTCATTCTTTGATTTTGGAGAACATAAATTCATCCCAGATATCATTCAGGTTGGGAGTTTCTATTTTCCTATATCACCACCAAACCCTGCTATGAATTAAATTAAATATTAAGTCAGCTTCACTCTTTTGTTTTGATCCCTTCTTCAATTTGAGTTTGTATTATGTATTTTTAAGTTTGATAGATTAACATTATAAGTTTCACTTTATTTTTGGATAAATGTTAGTCTATGCTCATGATGCATATTCATCTATGGTTCTATTTGATTATTTTTCTGATCTTGCTTGAAGAAAATTATTTGTTTATTGTCCCAGCATTTTAAAGTTTATATTACTTGAACTTTAAATTATTGCTTCTGAGAAACAGCCAAAAAATTCCATAATGAATTGTATGATTCTGGAAGCTTATATATCTGACCTCTTCCTTTATACTATGATATAGTAAAGATTTCTGGTGATGCTTATAAAGAATTATACCATCTTACTTTTCCCCATACCAATGCTACAATATGAAAGTACAAGCTTTTGAACCAGTTTTCAAAACGATCTCCAGATGTTGCAGCAGGTTATAGCCGTCAGCACGCTGAGACTGCCACTGTTTCCCTTAGCTGTTGGTGTGTGCTGTGCACTCCAGAGCACATCCGTGAAACCCTTCCTAGTGATGACCGGGTTAGTTTCTAGAGGACAAATGGACAGTGAAATTTAGGCAGTAGTATGCAAGTTTTAAAAGAAAGTCATAAGTACAAAAGGGGCATATGAAATAACATTTCTATGAACAAAATTTGGATATACCACTGTGTAGAATCTATCTTCACAATGTGTGTTCAAGTCTAAAAAATTAACGTTTAATTCTTTATAATTTGAGAGAGTAACTCTAGGTTTTTATGACTCTTCCTTCCATTTCCATTTTGTAATTGATGGAAAGGATGTTAGGCACAGAGAGAAAGTTGGACCAAGCAGAGATTCAATCATACACAGGACTGTAAACAGAATGCATATACAGGAGTCACATACAGAAACTTGGCAGACCATTGATTTTACTATAGCTTTATATTACTTATATTATTGTTGTGATGAATTACATTTATTCTATTAGCAATTTATAAAATCATTCATGGATTACAATATGTCATGTCTGAATCTTTCCTTAAATTTCATTGTCAAACAGCAGTCATGATATCTACACATCTGAAAACAGGAAGAGAGACTATACATATGCATGCACACAGCCTATATACAGTTTATGCTTTCAATCCCCAATTTATGCATTACTTGTTCAGTGAATGTCCTCTCCATGTGGGCCTCTTGCTTTTATTTCCAACACCACAATCATACATAAACCTTTTTTTGTTTTTGATGTAACAGCACTGTGAGATTTATCTTGTTGGTTCCTTGTTTTTCATATTAAGCTGGTACAAACCATAGCTCTAATTCTATGTGAATGTAAAAGTGATTTGACTGAAGTCAAGCTCATATAGATGCATCCTAGGGCCTGTTTCATTGTGTAGGTAATGGAACTTGAAACTATTATGAAATCATTTGATTTTTACATTTGCTTTTTAAATTTTTCCCACACGCATTCACTATTCTCTAATCAATTCCATACTTTGTATGCCATTTTATGGCAAAATGTTACAAAATTACAATACAAAGGATTTAAAGTTCTAGATTTCAAGAAATTGTTATAAACCTTGTGTAATGAGGGCAGTGTCATGTTGGCAAATAAGGGCACTAACATCAACAAGGTGAAAATAAAAAGTCAAAATAGATTTTCCTATATACACAATTGATTTTGCACAGAGTTCCAGAGTAATATATTGAAAAAGATAGTCCTAATAAATTATAATGTTGTAACAATGATTAAACATATATAAACAGAGCATATATATATGTGTGTGTGTGTATGTATATATATATATATATATACAGAGAGAGAGAGACAGAGAGAGAGGTAGAGAGTGAGGGATAGACAGAGACAGACAGAGAGAGAGAGAGAGGGAGAGAGAGAAATGTACATATATATCAGGAAAAAGAGAATATTATAAAATTTTAATACTGAATTTATTGAGATATCATGAGATTAATAAAAGTTACCTTTGGCCTCTACATTTACAAGTGGTACTCAAAGTGGTGGTCATTAGCTTCTGGACATTTATTAGTATGGTGAACTACTGCTTGGGTCCCCTTGGTAACTGAGATTGTTGCACATGCATTTTCAATTTCTTTTTTAAAGGACGGCAGTATAGTGTTTTTTTTGCTAACACTACATCATCCAGGGTCCCCCATATGAGAGTAACACTATTTGTTTAAAGACCATCATACTGTTTTTCTTTTCAGAAGTCTGTATACATTTTGAATATATGTGTATTATATATGCACATATATTCAATTATATTAATTCAAATGATGACAAAAATAGAGAAAATCACATTTTCAGAAAAATAAGAGGTAAAATTTTCATGATAGGAAACTAAAAATCAACTATAATTATTGTCAGAGCTAGGAGCAGTAACCTTAGCTCTCTGGGAGGCTGAGTCAAGGAGCCCAGCCTGGCGAACAGCAAGACCCTGCACTAAAATTAAAAATAAGTTGTTAGGTGATGGGTTTGTAACTCAGTTTGAAGGCCTTGTTTCCATCTCCTGAAATGGACAAAGAAAGGTAATTCTTTCTACAGTTCTCAAAATGCTGTCATGTGCAGTTAAAATGACATCTCCTTCATGTTTTTCCAAATTCTTCCAACACAAATTTAGATCCCATAGTAATACCTTCTTAATCCCCAAATGACCCCTAGGGCATGTAGTTTCCTTTGATGAAACAAAGAGCAATAAATAAAACTCTAAAATTTTAATTTTGCTCCTGATAGTCTGTGAAGAAAACCAATTTAATTATAGATGAGAAGCATGCCAACATGCCAATATAAATAACACAAAATAATTTAAGTATAGTGTGCTGACACATGCTACTATAATCTAGTTACAAAAGTGTCAAACTGTAAATTAAAAAAAAATACTACTTCTAATTGTAAGTGAAATAGAAATGAGTATTGCTAATATAGATGTACAAGAACATGCTGATAAAACTATAATAAATTATTTAAAGAACAAAAGGTCTCTAAAATTTAGTATACTATGAAGATAAATTAGAATTGTTAACATCATAAAAGCCAGAATGTGTTTATATTAATGAACTTTTTTTTTATTATAAAGATAAAAAACTAACTAAACAACAACAATGAAGACAAAATCAAAACAACACAGAAACAATAATAATGATACATGATCTCAAGGAAAATCATAGGAATTAACAATGATTGTTACATTACATACTGTTATCTTCAACCAATTTGCTCAGTCCATGAGATGTAAGAATGTAAGACTGATCAAACAATCAAGGACGATAACAAGTAATAAAAAAAAATTGGAAATGATGTACAGTGTCACCATACAAGATGGCAGGAATTTAACAATGGTTCTTATACTGCATATTGTTGTTTTCAAATCAGTCTTTCTGATTACCAGATATAAGGAGGCCGAATTGGTCAAGATAAAAGAAAATATTAAGCATTGACTGTTCCTTTCAATAAACCACAGACATCAGCAGTACACCTATCCCAACTATCCTTGTATATATATATTTTTTGTTTTTTTTATCTTTTCTCTTTAAAATGAAAAAGCAGAATTTTAAAAATGTCTGTAAATTGAATAAAATTCAAAGAAAATTCCTACCTGTTGCCAAATAACTTTCTTCAGGTGGAATTTGATCAGATGTGTCTGAATCTAATTGAGAAAAAAAATGTTCAAGAAGGACTAAACTTCATTTTACACATAACTCTAAAGACAATAGGGGACTAGCTCTACTATATATTTATATTCATAATATAAAAAGAGCATCTGTTATACAAATGAGATCAACCAAACACAATATCAGGTCCAGACGAAAACCAGCTCCTTGTAGACAAATATATCCACTTAACACATGACAGATGGTGTTGGAAACCATCGGAAAACACAAACCTTTAAGTAAGTGGTGGAACAATGAACAACTTGCTATCCGCAAACATAAAATAATAACAAGGCTCAATTTCCCATCATTCACAGCAAATATAAATTGTGAATTCTTTGTGAGTAGTTGTAGAAGAGAAATTGAAAGGCTTAGAAGTCAGTTGCTCTATGATGTTTATTTTTAAAATGGTTTTATAAATACAATGATTTTGCCCACCATAGTAAGTTTGTTCTGCAGTTCTCTTCTGAAGGGTTTGGGTTGTTTCCATAACTTTGGTGTTGTGAATGCTGAAGCAGTAAGCGTAGAAGGGTAGGCATCTCTTGGAGATCCTGCTTTCAGTGAAATCTTTTGGATATAATCTGAAAGTAGAATTGCAAAATCTATTTTTCGTTTTAACTGGTAGTTCCACTTTTAATTTTTTTGTTTGTTTGTTTGTTTTTTTCCGGTACCAGGAACCGAACTCACGACCTTGCGCTTACCAGGCAGGCGCTTTTGCCGCTGAGCTAAATCCCCAGCCCCACTTTTAATTTTTTTAAGAACCTTCATATTATTTTTCTTAACAGCAACGCAAGTTTAAATTCCCACATTTTGACCTGGACTTGACTGATGATTGTTTGACTGTTTGGTTGAGTTATGGTAAGAACCATCCTAAAACATGAGGCAGGGTATCTTGTGGTTTGGATTTGCATTATCTTGATGATTAGCAGCGTTGTTCATCTTTTTAATTGCATATTTATTGGCAACTTTGCTTTGTTCTAAGTGAAATTAGACACTTGCAAAAAAAAGATGCTGTGTGCTTTAAATTTTTTAAAGTATTTAACATAGCCACACTCACAGAAACAGAGCATAATGATCATCGCCAGGGTCTGTAGTAAAGAGAAAAAGTAGAGATACAAATGTTCAGTTTTACAAGAAATAATACTGGATATATACTGGATATAATACTGGATATAACTGGATATAACTGGATATGTAATACTGGATATAACACTGAATCTATACTTTATAACTTTGTGGTTACACATAACAATTTTCCATTGTGGAAATGAAGGTGACTTATGAGGGTTGATCTAAGTTAAAAGTTCTTCCACACATGAAGATATATCGTAACGTGAAATCAGGAGCAAGGTGCATATTTGTACAAAAGGCCCTAGGGCTATGTCAAATTATAACTTTTTCATGTCAAAAAATCATGGAACCTTGTAATTTCAACTCTCCACTTTTCAAAAGCCTACATTTTAGAGATAATTCATGTAATATTTCAATTAAAAATATACAATGAAACACATTAGTGATTAATATTTGAAAGTAGAACTGCAAGGTAAATTCATGTTACAACTTCATAAGCAAACCACTAACAAACTCTTTTAAATACTTTCTATTCTTGTGTATTAATTTTATAAGATATCGTGTTGTAATGTTATTTTCCTACATGTACACACCATATGTTGATTACATCCTTTTCCCGTACTGCTCTCACTTACACCCACCCCCATTCCCTTTTCCTGTTGCCTCAGAATATTCTCCCTTGCCCTTTCACGTCATCTCTCTTTAAAGATTTCTCATATTATGGAAAATATGCTATGTTCTTCCTGAACCTGATTTCCATCATTTAACACGATGATCTCCAGTTGCCACCATTTTGTTTTCTGGAAAATGGCATTTTTTATTTGCCTTTATGGTTAAATAATGTTAAATTTTAAAATTCAATTTAGATCATAAGATATTTTATATATCCAGTTATATCCAGTATTATACCCATTGTTATACCCAGTATATATCCATCATTTAGAAATGATCATAAGCAAAAAACAATAGCATTCCCTTCTATCACAGGGGAGCACATACAGTGAAACACAGTTTTATGTTTGTCATCCCTTAGCAAAGCAAGAAGCATGCTTCCCCTTAAGACCTCAATGAAAAGACATGCACAAAAGGATTTACACAAACATTGTTGAAAATATTTAAAACTGAAAATAATCTAAGAGTTTATCAGTAATGGAATGAAAAGATGTCATAGCATAGCTATAAGATTGTATTGCATAATAATGTACTATGATCATTATCGAAATAAAGTAAGTGGGTCCTGAGATTATAAGAAATCAATTTCCTTTGGGTAATATTTAAAAAGAGATGTTAACAAACATAATTTCAGTGAATAGTATAAAGGGAATAATTAACATAAAATTAAAAATATGGGTTGCTCTTTAAGGAATGAGTACCTGTGATCGATTCTGGCAGCAGTAAAACCCAGTCGTATGCCTGGCTCGCTGGATCCAGATATTGCATTTGCTGTAGTTTTATGAATTACACATTTCTATAGTTTTTAAGTGTATGCTACATTTTCTTTAAGTTTCATAACTAAAAGTACATCAAAATATCTCAACATAAAAATCTAGAATTAATAAAAACAATTTTTCACCTGAGACTCAGGAAAGTTAATAAAATATATAGTATAGAACATTAGAAATCTCTAAATTGTACAACTTGTAGGACAACTAGGCATCCATATAAATATTTCCTTCTAAGTCAAAGACACAAATATCACAGATTTATTATCATTTTTATTTATGAAAATGTCCTAAGTCTGAATAGTAAAACTGAAAAAAGAAGACTGTGTTTTAGGAGAAAGTTTAAAGATTATAATGAGTAATGATCTAACAGATCATGGTAACTATGATGCAGTATACATGTAGAAGACTTTAAAGACACCATGTGATGTTACATCTTTTCTTGATAACATTTTTTGTTACATTACTTTCAAAAGAAACTCAATTGCCTTTCTCTTCAATCCACAAATTACAGAGTTTTACCTGGTAGTTTAATGAGGAAAAGTTGACATTACTAACAAGCTACAAAATATTTGTAAAATGACTTGCTCTCAAGATATGGTAAAATAATACTAACAATTTTTAATACTAAAAAATGTGTAAATGACAGTATATATAGTTGTGTTGATAGGATATTCATAAATTGTTATTTTCAGAAATTTTAGCTATATACCTGAAGAATTCACAGGAGAACAAAGCTTAAGTCCTTTATATGATTTTCAACACTTATCAAAATTTTTATGTGAAAAAAATTGTCCAGAAATACCTGTATAGAAACACAGATAAACGGGTGCATGTGCATGCGCGCGCACACACACACACACACACACACATGCAAAGTCAAAGTAGATAGCATGGCTGGTCAAACTTTTGGGAGGCCAAGCATCAGTGAATAAAGAGGAAGTGACTAGGGTTGCATATAAAATATTTAATGTAGTTAATGTGATTAAGTAATACAACTTCTCTTATTTCCTCCACTTTATTATAACATTTCTAATATTATGTCTTGTATATGTAAATAAAATAATACTCAGCATAAAATTGTTTGTTATCATTTTATACTTCCTATACCTGCAAAAATAGCTGAAAAATTATTCTAATATAGTAAATTATACAGCACTAGAATCCCCAGTGTAATAAAGTAAGACAATGTATATATTTCCTTAGTAACCATAAACACCAGTCCTCACAGGCACACACACCTAGGCAGGTTGAAATGTTCTTACCAGTAACTGCTGCTTTTGTGCTTCCAAGTGCCGTAAGTGCAGGCCCGAATGTGATGGACACAGGAATCACACTTAGCCCTGATCTGCTCTGTATCTTCCCTGTGCAGTGTTCTCTTCTTACCTGCGCAGTTCTCTGGAGCACCGCAGTAATTGATGCCACACTGTTACCTATGCAGGGCCACAGGAGACCGTTGGCCTGGACAGGACTGTTATTATTTTACTTGAGATAGTCAGGTAAAATCATAAAGGTAAAAAATAATTTTATTGGTTAAAAGTTCTTTTAGACTGTTGTTTCTAAATAAGAGAGGTAGTTGTTATTCTGTTATTCTTTACCACTTGAACCACAGTAGAAGATTCTATCGATGTAGAGAAGTATTTACATAATTACTAAGACACATTAGTTCTATGCTTGACATCTGTGCTTAACTCCTTATCTCTTCCTGATTCCCAATTCTGAACTGTAAATATTGCTTTTGAAATGAAAAATAAAAATAATCCCCAAAGACAGGGGAAATCAAGCTTGTAAGGCAAAACCAATCACAAAAACAATAATACAGATTTCAGCAGCAGCACCAAATACACGAGAAAATACACAAAATTATGCATGAAACGCACAAAGAAATTGCCACACATTGCCCTAGGCAAGAGAATTAATGGATGATTAACATTTAATCAACAAGACAAAGTTCATATAATTAAACAAAGTTCATTTGACATAGGAAAAATATAATTCCCAAACTGTTAAATGTCAAATGTACCAAGTCTATGGTCTCACGACACAGAGGAATAAAGCTGAAAACCAAAGAGGGCGTTAGCTGAGTTTTATTGGAAATAGGGAGAGGAATACCTCCTGGATTTCCAGAAGGTGGTCCTGATTTGGTGGACACCAAAGCCCTTTGTCAGGGATAACTGGCACAGCAAAATCACATGGATACAACATGGGTCAAACCACAATCTACCTTAGAGGATACACATATAGGTACTTAGCTAATATTGATCCAATAGGGAAGTGAGTCATATAGCAGGGGGTTATGGAAAGAACAAGGCATTTTGAGGAAGGTAGGGAAGTATGGATCCAGTGGCTCTGGTCACCTACTTATGTGTCTCACCCCTTTCTGGGTGCCCTGGACCAGGTGGTGCTAATTGCAGTATAATCTAAAATTGCTGTTTGTCTAGGGAGACATACAAACCTGGCAGTTGCTTCTCCATCTTGAAACCTGGCTCTCTTAAGATTCTCCTAGAGCTATTTTTTTTTGTGCTGATTTCCTTGAGGGCTCAATCCCTCTCTGATTATACATTAATAGCTATCTAACAGCTGTCTGTTATACATTGTCATCTAGTAAATTATCCATCAAGTATAATAATTATATGAGTGTATGTAAATTCTTACTGTTGAAGTTGAAGCCCCTTTTTACTGCACCAAGGAAGATGAGAATATACAAACCACACAAGCCCCACAGAACAAACTGTGCATATTCTGAGCTGGAGACACATGAACTAAGCTCATAAACAGAACCTTACAATTTTCACCATGAGATGAACTGTTTCCAGTCAAGCAGTGTTAATCATTCATCTAGAGGTGACTCTCCTAAATTAATAATTTTGTTCTTAACTCTACAATCTATTAATTCTGGATTTTATAAGCAAATTTACATTTTTTTTTTCTCAAAGGTAAGGTTTATCTAAAAGAAACATGTTTTGCCTTCAAGGCAAAAATAATGAAATTCACACAGTATGAGGAGGATTCCTTTGGAATAAAAAAATTTATATTTCTTACTACTAGTCCAGGTGCCACATTAGAACATTTTTTACTCACATATGTTCCTTTCTCTTTTTTTTATTTAACTCCATCACAAAGTTCAGTGAAACATTCCAGTCTCTAATACACATTCCTCTCTTTTGACCTTGATCTCTTTCATCTAAGATTGGCAGATGTGAGGCCCCGAGGCAAAGCCACTGCCTTGGAGAATCCAACAGAGCTGAAGACTAATACATTCTATTTTTGGAATTTTACAGTCTCCAATCAGTACATTTACTTTGGTAAGTGAGACTTGTGATTCCCATTCACTTCCTGCTGTGGCCAATTTCTAGGAGGTACCAGTACTTTGCTTTTTAGGGGTCTGAAATCGTATCTATCTGTTAAGATTACCAATTTGGAAGGAAAAAAATAGTATGCTCCCACCTGAAATAAAACAAGAACCGAAAACCAAGACCAAACCAAACCGAAACCAAACAATAAAACAAACAAAGAAACAAAAAACAGACAATACATGCCCTTCAAAGCTCCATGGAATCTGCTAAATTTCTTTTCAACAAAACAAACCATTAAAGGATTTTATTAATATTCCTGCATTACCACCTACTCTGTGTGTATTATTAATCATCCTTTCCTTTCCCAATGAAGACCCCAAAGCAATTTAAGCTTGGATCACAGCATGTCCCTATGAAGACAGATATAAACTCAGAAAAATGATGTATTGCCAAGTCTCAAGCTTTATTTGCACAAATACTTGGCCAACTCATTCTAAAAACCTAAAGATTCTACCAAAGTGTACTTAAATACATCCCTGAATTTATCTGCATGAGAGATACTCAGATTCATCTTATGCTATAACCTATCACAGACCCTAGACTAAGTCCGAAAATCTCATTTTAAGTGACTCCTGTTGTTCTCTTCTGTAATTTTAGCTATTTGGGAGGCTGATGCTGGAGAATGGCATTGTTTAAGCTGTGTTGTCCCCCAAAAAATGTGTAGAGCCCTTGACAAGTATCCTAAGGTCCTGGGTTCAATCCTCAGCATGGGATATGAAAGCAAAAACAAAAAACTTGCTTTAAGAGTTGTTCTGGACTCGCAACCAGAAACGAACCAAATGGTACCAACCGACAAACACCAAGACGCACGGACGGCCAATTGGAATTTAGGACGAGCCTTTATTCCTGGTCAGGGACTGACTGAGAGCCTCCACGCAGGAAAGGATCAGACCAGTGCCCATCCAGGGATGAGAGTAGCTTTTATACCCTAAAACCGCATCCTGTTTGGCAAACACATGTCACATCTGTAACAATGAGGGGGCTCTTTTTCTGTTTTCCTTCTTTGTATGGCAGGAACAGTACTTTCTGAGAATCCGGGAGGGGTAGAGCATTTAAGGGGAGAACAATACATTTTGGGAGTCCAGGAAGGGCAGGGCGTTTACAACCAGTTTAAAACCATACATTCCAGAAATGGTAAACATGAAGATCTAACCCCACGGCAGGGGTGGGAACTGGGAATCAAACTAGAACCTTTGATGTCTGTGGTGGGGCTTTTACAAGAGTCATTTTATTTTATTGTCCTTTTCTTTCTTTTTGATGTTCCCTGTAAATGGTTCTCATGAACTGATGCCTCCCACTTCTTACACTAAGTTATTAGGGAGTAGCAGCAGGACTCAGGACAGATACACAACTGGGTGAACATTGATCAAGTTGCATCTCATCAAAGTTAAGGCCTATCTTCTTGGTCAGACTCCTCTAACTCTTGCTAAAATATTTCCTTGTATTATTTAGTGAATGTCTGAAATTCTCAGAACTGTAGAATTCTGTTTACAACAATGAAGTTATACACAAGAACTTTATGAACCATGATCTTGCTACTTAAGTCAGAGGTGATCCTTATGTATTCCTGCTTAGACACTTACACTATGGTATCTATTAAACTTTATAAGCAACATCAATTTGCATTAGATGTGGACCCTGTTGAAGGGGCATGTAATCTAATAGTGGAGATCATATTGGTATATATTACGAAAGGAGGTAAAATAAAATACCACAAGTGGAGTGCAAACAAAGCACCATTTTCTTCTAGGACTAGTAGCATCAACACATTATCACTTTTTAGATTCTTATAAATAGCTAACTCCATGAGCTGGCTGAATTAGAATAGTATGATTTTGCATTACAGAGTTATAAAAATAAAAATGTTAATGTGTTCTTATGTCAAGTGAAATTTTATGAATTTTACCTTGACTATTCAGATGCCTTCTCAATTAAAAACAAAAAAAGCCAAATCCACCTATTTCTGAAGAAAGAACATACGACTGGAATAATTGTAGATTTTACAATAATAATGCATTTGCAATGTGCATATGTATGTGTGTAGTTTTATTCAGTGTTATTTTTGTTCCTTTTTTTTCCTTTGGTGGACAACTTAAGGGGACCAAGATATCCCATTAACAAAGATGTAAGACTGTTTACAGCAAAGACATGAATTTATAAAAAAGATATCATTAGTATTGCATTACATACAAGCTAAAATTCTTTTTGGAACCTAAGTCAGGTTTTTCTGTCATTAACAATTTCAAAGATATTTACATGCTTCTCAAAATTAATGTTTCTTTGGAAGTCAATAAGTAAAAATGTTGTAGTCAGGTGCTATTACTCTGACTGTAAAAAGCAGTGAGAAGTATTACCTTAAAACTTTTATCTTCCTTTCCTCTACTGAGTGAGGGCTTGCTGGGATAATTTGGAGTGTGAAGCAGTTTTATCATTGTTCTAGATTTCCTAATGGTCCTTTGCACAGTCGAGGAAAAGGACAAATGTCAACCACATATGTGGATTTCAAAAGAGCTATCATATTTTTAACCCACAAGGACAATCTAGGCAATTGTCAAGGTCAAAGAAATGAAAACATTGATGGAAATTTCTCCATGGCAGGAGGTAATTTGTAGGCATGTTATACTCAGTCTGCAGAGAAGTGATAATGACTTCCAAGTACATAGAAATTGTTCTCTACATTGCAGATATTCTCAGACCTCTTAGGCATTAATAAAAAAAATAAACCTAAGGTTAAATGGTGTGTACAAATGTTCCTCTTGTCTGAGAGAACCCTAGTTAACGATGACAATAAGACAAAAAGTCTTATATTCATCAAAGAAAATAGAAGCAAAAGATGATCAAAGTTGCTGAGTTAATTATAAACATGTCAATGCTTATGCATAAATATTAGAAGTTAAAGCCAGTACCCAGTTTTTAGAAATTGCTCAGAAACAAAACCCTCAGATATCTGATGTGCTTGATCTAGTAAGACTAAAAATAAATGAAATCTTAATAGATTGAGTAGATAATAAAAGATGAATTTATGGTAAACTTTTAGCATCTATGATAGAATATATCTGTCTCAAGAGATTAATCTAAACAAAAAAAGAGATTTTTTAACCAGATTTTCATAATCTGATTGTTCTAGAGCTATGTATGGGGTTTGGGCAAGACAATTAGTGAGCTATCCAGATAAGGTGAACTCCAAGAAACATAAAATATTTTCATACATATTACTGAATTCTAGACCTAAAAATTTAGCTGAAAATTTAACCTTAGTTAACTGGCATGGGTATGCAAGTTTCATGCTTTTAAAAACATTTTTACATTGATACTAAATTATTTGTATCAATAATGATTTCCTATGTCCCAAAAATTGGTCTATTATTTTTCTTTGAGAGATACACACAGGTCTCTATACTAAGGACAGTTCATATAAAATCTGTAATTCAAAAATATATACATAAATAAAAACAGTGCCCCTCAAAGCCTTGTCATCCTAAATATAAACATGTTGCTCTTTGAGCAATTCTACCCAAGGAATGAATATAGATTACTCAGTTGTTAACATCATATGACAGTCCTTGTTTTGCCTCCATGTTCATTAAGAAATTTTCTAATTCAAATATAAATTCCTATGTATATTTACTCATAAAGAGAAAACAAGTGAATCATAGGATACCCAGTCTATTTGGTCATATTTGGTTTTATATAAGTACATTGTCATTAGTAAAAATGTAAGTAGTTGTATTTTGTTACTGTAAATGAGTTTCTAGTTAAAATTCTGAACATCTCTTAACATACTAGCAGAAATTTTGAAATGATAGATGTGAAGCCCAATTCCTAAAACATAATAATCCAGTTTAATAATCAGGTAATGTCACAGATCTGGAAGACACCAGTTATGCAGTCAGGTTCCTGTAGGTGATGCTTCCTGTCTTGCTTAAGAGCAATGAGTAAATAGAATCACACTAGAGAAAACAACCCTAAAATCCACATAGAACCTGAAGATTCTCAGAAAAGCAAAAGCAATCCTGGGCAGCAAGAGTAAAGCAGGAGGTATCACAATACCTGACTTCAAGACTACACTGATAAAAACAGCATGGTATTAGTGTAAAACCAAACAGATGGATCAATGGAACAGAAAATCTCCTGGCACATTCATATAGCTAATCTTTCACAAAGAGGCCAAAAACCTATGTTGGCAGAAAGATAATCGTTTTAGTAAATGTTGCTATCCATATGCAAAAGCTGGATCCATAAGTCTCACCATGTACTAAACTAAAATCGAAGTGGATCAGAGATGAAATTTAAAACAGAAACATTTAAACTACCAGAAGATAAAATAGGTAAAAATCTTAAAGCATTGGGGTAGGTAAGGACTTTCTGAACAGATCTTGTATGGCACAAAAAATAGTAGCAAGAATCAACAAATGGGATTACAATAAAATAAAAATCTTCTGTATATAAAAGGAAACAATCAACAGAGTACACAGAAAATCTGCAGAATGGGAAAAACTTTTAGCAGATATTCCTCAAACAGAGGAATAATATCTACAATATATAAAGAACTCCAAAGTAGACCCCCAAAATGAAATACCCAGTCAAACAACAGACAAGTAAAATAAATAGACACTTCTCAGAAGAAGTACAAATGACCAATAAACATATGAAAAAATGTGGAACATCTCGGCAGGAGACCGTGACTAACCTCCATTGTATATTAGTAGCCATCTTAAGCATTGTTTCTGTTGTCTGAGTTAAGTTTCTGTTAGACGCGCCTTTCCCTTTAAGTCAGGACTGCCTACCGTTGCCTAGCTACTCCCGCCTCTAGAACTAGGACTGCCCACCATTGCCTAGCTACTCCCGCCTTTGTCCAGTTACTTGGTTACTCCCGCCTTAAGAACTTCCACGTTTTTCCATGCCCTATATAAGCACAGTACTTCCCGCCAATAAATAAGACTTGATCAGAATCCTGTCTTGTCTCCATTCTTCGTGTCTCTTGTCCCTTTATCATCCCCACTCCCCCTCTAGGGTCCTCCTTGACTGTACCATCGGGCTGGGACACATCTCTGGTCTTTAAAAATGCAAATTGGAATAATACTAGAATTTTACATTTGAAAGAGTGGCAATCATCAAGAAATCAAATAATAACAAGTGTAGGCATGGCTATGAAGGAAAAGAAACCCTTCTACATTATTGATGGGAATATAAACTAGTACCACTATTGAGAAAATCCATTAAATTCCATTTAATACAGTTATTCCATTTGAAGTACATTCTCAAAAGTGCAAAGGACATCATATTTCAGATATATGTGCCTATTAATGTTTATAGCAACACAACTGATAAGAGCTATATCTTGGATGCAGCCTATATATCCACCAACAAATGAATCAATAAAAAAATATATCTACACATAATGGAATACTACTCAACTATAAAGAAGAATAAACTGGAAACATTTATAGACAAATGGATATAGTTTGAAAACATAAAATGAAAAAAATCAGATGCACAATCTGAAATATCATACAGTTTCTGTCCTTTGAGTAATTCAAGGTACAAATAAAGAGCAAAATAAAAGTTCAATAAAAGGAAAGGAGATAGCTCATTTGCAAATAGGATGAAAATCGAGACTCTGAGAGAGGTGGAAGTCAAGGAAAGAACACAAACAGATCTAAGATGTTCCATGTATATGTACCAACTACCCACAATGAATATAACCTTTATGTGTGGTAAACATACAATAAAATAATAATAGTAAAACCAATAATGATAATAACATTTATAATAAACATGAGGAAAGAGGACCAAGAGACAGAGTAGAGAAGTTGGGTAGGGAGGGGAAGGGGAATAAAAGTTTTCAAGATGTGTTTAATACATGGATCTACTTCCTAAGGTGACTATAAACATCATGCACTCCCAAAATATACTAACAAAATGTAATTGAATCTTAAGCAAATAAAGTATGTATTGAGCCATATAAATAATAAACAGTAACAATATAAGCAACCATAAAATACTGTTGCTGAAAAACCCAGAAAGTTGTGTAGTAAATAATTGTAAAATCTCTAATTTCAAGATTGAACATTGAAGCACTAAAGATACCACAGAAAAAATTAGTAACAGAGATGGAATCAAGTATTCAACACACATAGAATTATTTTAAAAGATACTTGACAAAATATTGTGATTTATCAAGCAAAGATTAGCTGTCAGACTCTCAGGCAATTTGAAAATTTAAAATAGAAGCAGTTGACTTATGGAAATATTTATCTAAATATAAATGTTATATACATATGTAGTGAGAAATTCTGCAGAAGCTGTGCAAAAAGGACTATAAAACTTCTACATGCTCTGTCTGTGATCTTGTAAGAACCATTAAACTCTCTGAGATATTCTTATAAACCTGTGAAATGATGCAAACTTAGCTTCTAAAAAGTAAAATTCTACATTACATTATCATTTAAATTCTTTTGCAATTATAGAACAGAATTTTATGAAAACATAGTGGAAATCCAGTTTAATATTGCAAAATGTTAGGGCAACAAATAATGTCTATCATTTTTAGGTTATAGAAAAAACAAGTTTAATTTGAAATGCTTTAAAAATCCATATTGTCTAATTGCCTTAGATTTTTTTTTTCTTTTTTTTTTTGTTTTTCTCCAGTACTGGGAACCGAACTCACGACCTTGCGCTTGCCAGGCAGGCGCTTTGCAGCTGAGCTAAATCCCCAGCCCCGCCTTAGATTTCTATTTTACCCTGTGTTGGGTAAATCTAGTTAAATTCTAGAACTCTCAAATGTGCCTACCTCACAAAGAAAATGTGATTGTTTCAGACAAATATTCAAATTTAACATTTTATGTTCAAAACATCAATCCACTTATGTTTTTTGAACGGTTTTCTTAACGTTGTTGCTAATCGTAGGACATATATTAACTCTAGAGTTCTTTACAAAATAACAGTAGGCCCAAAACTAGAAGAAAAAAAATGAAAGGATATAAACATAACAAAGATTAGTAATAAAAAATGGCTCAAGACTGGATACAATGCCTAGATCACAGGAAGTTTACATTGCCAAAAATTATAATTATATGAAAACATTAAAAATAATAGGGTAAAATGAATGCAATAAGGTTATTAATAAAAAGCCAGGATTTTTAGTTGTCTGAGTCAGCACAAGTGTTAGAAGTTAGAGCTGAAGATGGAAATATGAAAGAAAAAGTAGTAAAGAATGAGGAAAAATGAATACCATAGAGATCAGCAAATCAACAGACAGATGGACAGAATAAAAGTTATGGAGTGCAAAATTTGTCAAACTGAGATGAGATATTTGAGAACAGTGTCCATTCAAAAAACAAATAGTTCACTTTGGATATTGTAATGCTCAAAAATTCTCATTAATTTTTAATTCTAAGGACTCTTGGGATACTAAGTTTGTCCTCATTCTGTTTTACTGGTATCTGCATAGATATACATGTAGATATAAATATGATCATAATTCATCTTTAATTTTGTCATATACTTGAATATATTCCCAAATTTACATAAAGCTGCAATGGTAGACACTTTCTCATGTTTTCAATATACAGATATTTGTTATGGATCATGCTTTCACTATCTGATGAAGAGGCTCTATCCCATAATATTTAAACCTGGTTGTCGTTCAGATTATCTGGCATGAATGTCCTTAGGCCCATCTGTTTGGTTGTCATGGTGCCATACTGAGGAAGTGGCAAGCTAGTTTTGAGTAGACATAAATGCCAACGAAAGAATAATTTAGCAGGAGAGTGTGTTGAGTGCAAAAAGTGACATCTATAAGAGGAAACTCTTGACTAGCAATGCCAAATTGGAGCTGTGTGTTTCATTACATGTGAGTGCATCTGTTGCCACTTGTAAGCCTAATGCCATAAAAGAGAATGACTTTCACTGAGAAGGCTCTTTGGAAAAAATGGAAGCATAAGTAACCATGTAAGATTATGGAAGATGGACTTTGTTGCTTGAGTGATAGAATTAGTAAAATAGATAAATCTGAAAAATTGCTGAAGGTAATTAATATACAATATTTTCCTAGAGCTTATCTCATTCATCAAGAGTGCAAAGGAGTATATAAGAATAAAATGTAAAAGTGAATAGATAATTGTTAATAATATATAATTGTAAAGGATATGGATTAGCAATATAATGAATCAATTGCATACAGAAAAAATTAAGGATAGAGAAAACAGGATATTCCAAAGAACAGAGTTTGTCGTATTTTGAATTTGAAAACTGATATAAATTGTTTAAGATTAAAAATAAAAGAAATGTTAGTTGAAATTTTATGCCAAAAAATATAAATATATGACAGGTATTTAATTTGTTTTGTAGATTACAAGAGCTGTAAATTACTGGAATTAAATTAACAGAGAAAAATCTTGGGATACCAGAGATTTTATGAACATCGCAGTACACAGAAAGGTTACCTTTTAAATTCAGCATTATAATTTATCCATGGATTTATTTACAAATGTTTTGAGTACCTAAAATGTGTGAAACTCAGGGATCAAGTTGTCTTAATAGCTAAAATGAAGTGCATCTTAATTAAATAATATTTATTTTAATTCTAGATGGCAAGCTTAAACTTTTGGAAAGGCAACAAGATGAAAACCTGTTGCTAAAAAGTGTGTTAAAAATTTTACCAAATGGAAAGTGATAAACCATTTTCCCTTCCTTTTGTTCCTGTGAAATTTTATGTTAAAGATTTGTGTTTTATAGTAGTTTGCCTTAAGAGTGTGTTTAATTTAAAATCTCAGATAACTTGATAAATCTAGACATACCATATCACCATGTGAATACATTAACACACATATTTCATGTTCCAAATGTCAAGATATGAACATGATTTCAAAGTCTGGACATCAAATTCTCACAAATATTTTCTTCTTTCACTTGAAAATATGTGATAAAAGTTAAGAATTTTTTGTGTTGTGTAAAAGATGCAAACTTCTTTTAATCATCAAATATAATCTAAGAGCTTTGATTCCAAATTTTTTAAAAAAACCTAAGGATCTTAATGACATTAACACTGGAATGCTTCACTCCATAACTACTTAAAGTTATGAGTTCTAGATAGATTCAAACCCTCTTATAATCTTTGACAACTCTCACCATCCTTCTGGATTAAAACAGATTGTTTTGTCTACTGTCAAGAGATTTCACGTAATGGGTCATTTTGAAATCATTGTCCTGATTCTTGGAGAAGTTCTACTTCTTAAAAATCTTTGTACTGATTCAAGTAGCTTATTTTCTAATTTTTCTTTGGAAATCAGTAATCATATTCATTTGATCATATGGAAGAAGGTGAATGCACTTTCTTATCTACAAAATTAATTGCAAGTATTTCATAAGTCTTGAGGACTAAGCATTTTTAAAAAGTTAAGGTTTGTACTGTCAGTTTAAGTCATTACTCAGATGCCACTACCCACCAACTCTGCGAGATGAAGAAACTGATTATAACGTGGTTAAGGCCTTAACAACAGATAAATGTAGAGTTAAGATTCAAAACCCTGCAGCCTGTATATATTCGTAAACTTACATAAAGTCTTAAATGATATACTGCCAAACCTCTATGAACATGTAAGATGAAATATAAGAACTACTATTTGATTATATTATTGAGATGGACCTGAAGAGGCTGAGAGGACGAAATCACCCTGAAAGTATAAATTTGAGAAATACATTTGTGAAGGATTTGTCCATTGCTTTTTAA